GCGGCGGCTGTACCGTGTTGGCAAGTTCCTGGAATACGCAGCTAAGGAAGTCTGAAGCAAACGTCCGGGTGTGAATCGGAGCCGCCCTCCATCCGGGCAGCGTGATGTGTCCAGGCATCTGCTTTGCAAGTTCGAAGGAGCCTCAGGCACATCCCCATTTCGAAAAGGAACCGACCACCATTTCTTTTAACTGCTCAAAGCGATCAACGCGAATACGCGCGGCGCCAAAGAGGAGAGCCCCAGGCTGAAAAGGAGCCATCTCCATCATTGAAGTTGTTGCCACATGCTAAAACGAATGCGCGCGGCGCTACGGCGAGAGATCCATGCTGAAAAGGAGCCGCCCTCCATCATTGAAACGTCCTCGACCGTTTAGGACGAATGCGCGCGGCGCCAAGGGGGATCCCTCATATGTAATATCCAACTTTCGTCGCTATTTTGAAACGAGTGCGCGCGGGAATCAAACATGTGCTTTTCGTGTGTTTGCGAGTGGGTACTTTGCGAGAAGCGGAACGCGCTCGGTGAATGGAGGGGGATGGTGGGGCCCAGGGCGGAGAACGGGGAAGGGGAACTGCCGGGAAGCGCGCACGCATCCCGCTGCGGGGGCTGTGATGCTCAAGCGCGCGTCTGCGCCGCCCGGGTCCCAGCCCCCTCCCCTCCCCCACGCACCAAAACACCTGCGTCGCCTGGGCCTCGCTCCTATCCCAACGCGGCCCTATTTCCAAGGGGGGAGGCGTTAGGCGTCGCATCCACAAGGGCCTCGCCCCACGATGTGGGAGAGGAGTGCTCGCTCCGCGACGAGGGTGGCGCCCCGCGGCACGACTGGGGATTGCGCACCGGCGGGCGCCTCGCTCCGCGATCGCTGGGGGTCTCGCTCCGCGACGGCTGCGATCGCGAAAGATGAGAGAACGCTCTCGAGTTGACGACGCCCCTCCATGGGCCCGCCCGTGGCCCAGGAGTCGACTGAAACAGCGCTTTCTGCTTTCGTTTGGTTTTGGTGATATTTCGTTTTGCCTTCAATCTGCCACGCTGCGCGACTGGGCCCGCGCGCGCCTGTGGGGGCCGCGCGCGGGGGTGGCGCGGCCGGGGTCGCGCCCCGTCGCGGAGCGAGGCCGGCCACCAGTCGCGGAGCGCGGGCGCGCGCGCGCGGGCGGGGGCCTCGTCGGCGGCGGGCCTCACTCCGCGAGAGGTGGCGCGGGGCACGGCACCGAGAAGGGCAGGGTTCGCCGCGAGACACGCACGAGGAGGTCCGATGAGGCGCCCTCGAGAGTTCGGATGGACCCCCGAGACGTCCTCGGGACTTCATCGCAAATCCCACGGGCTCCGAAGGAATCCCGCAGGGCTCCTACCCGAAACCGGAGGAAGCCCAAAAGATTGGTGAGAACATCCTTCTTGGAAGTCCTCTGGATTCCAAAAGGCTTCAAAACGTTCCTGGACAAACCCTTAGGCCTCGGTCGGAAAATACAAAGAATTCAAAGAAAACCCTGCGGACTCCTCAACGAATCCATAACAATCATGACAGGAACCCTGGAATGTCGTAGGAAATCCTGCGGATTCCGCCAGAGATCCTCAGGGCTTTAGAGATCGCCAGGAAATCCTGAAGATTCCTGAAAAGAAGCCCGCAGGATTGCTGAGGAAATTGCGGAGGGATCCCGAGGATTGCTGGAGAAATCGGCAGGGAAAATAATTGGATTCCTGAGGAAGCCCCTGCGGATTCAGAGTCTCACTTGGGGGCTTTCGCCTCCCGGGCAGGGAGGCCGGGGGTGGAGGGGCTGGACAGCTTCGCCAGGGAGGCGCTGGGGCATTATGTACTGCCTTTCTCCTGCTTGAGGGGTCAGCCACGCTCGCCTCCACCCAGACCCCTCCCCCCGGAGGGAGGGCCAGAATCCGAGGAGCGAGGAAAGAGGGAGGAGGGCAGGAGAGCCCAGAACCGAATAGGCAGCTCGCATCGGCGACGGAAATGGAATAGGACCGGCAGAGTTCGGCAGCCGGGCCCGGCGAAGCCGCATCGGCAGAAAGCGGCAGGCTGTGAAGGCCCCCCATCGAGAAGCCGAGATCCGAGCCGGCATCTCGGCGTCAAGCCGAGCCGGCATCGGAACCACGCAGCATCGAATGGAATCGATTCGGAGGACATCCTTGGAGGCCTCGAAATGGGCACCAACACCAACATAGGGGGGGGGGCCTCCAGTGGGAAGATGATCCTAGATTTCGGTGTTGGTGACAATATTTCGGTCACCTTGGAAGCCAGAATATTACCACCATCACCGAGATCGGGATCTTCTTCCCTCGGTGGATGCACACAGCCGATATTGGTGTTCGTGTCAATCTCTAGGCCTGCGATGCATCCGCATGAGCCCCGTCCTCGTGAGCAGAATCCGCTGCAGGTCTGGCTCCAGCTCCATGAGCGCCGAGGCCGCGGAGCCGTCGACGTTGTTGCTGCGGCAGTACTCCGCCACGACGGCCTCGAGGCTGTCGCCGCCGCTGGGCCTCGACCCGCCGCCCTGCGAGGCCTCCGAAGGTTCCGCCGGCTCCATGCCTGGAGGGGAGGGGAGGGGAAAGAGAAGGCAGGGGGGGGGGTCCAGCGCCGATCCGACATACATGCACATATATGTATATATATATATATATATATATATATATATATATATATATATGTATATATATATATATATATATGTGCGAGACTTCCAAAGTTTCTGCGCTGATCTCCTCGCCCGCGAGCATCGTGAGGGGGGCGTGGCCAGTGACTCTCTTCACGGCGCGAAGAATCTGCCCTGGGGCCCGTCCTGGGATGCATTCCGACCAAAATCTCCAGAGGGGGAGTCCAGACGCGGCGGGGAGAAGCCTCCCGCGGGGGGGGGGGCACTTGAGACCTCGATGTGCACACCCAATCCTCGCGGCTCGGGTATACATATACTTATGTATCCTCTTCCTCCTCCTCCTCCTCCTCCTCCTCCTCCTCCTCCTCCTCCTCCTCCTCCTCCCTCCTCCAACTGCCTCTTCCCTCTCCCTCCTCCCTCCTCCCCCTTGTCCCTCTTTCTCCTCCTCCTCCTCCTCCTCCTCCTCCTCCTTCTCCTCATCTGCATCCTCCTCATGATCATGATCATGATCAGCATCATCATCAGCAGCATCATCAGCACCATCATCATCAGCATCATCATCAGCATCATCCGCATCGTCTGCATCATCATCATCATCATCATCATCATCATCATCATCATCATCATCATCATCATCATCATCACCATCACCATCACCATCACAATCATCATCAGTATCATCAGCATCAGCATCCTCATAATCAGCTTCAGTATCATCATCATCATCATCATCATCATCATCATCATCATCATCATCATCAGAAGCAGCAGCAAAATCATCATCATCACCACCAATCTCATCATAAGCATCACAATCATCATCACCATCATCATCAGCTTCGCCAATGTCATCATCAGCATCATCTTCATAATCATCGTCATCAGCATCATCACCATCATCATAATCGCCAGCATCGTCATCATCATCATCATTAATAGCATCGCCACCATCATCATCAGCATCATCGCCATCATTATCAGCATCAGCGTCATCGTCATCGTCATCAGCATCAGCATTATCCGCATCATGAGCGCAATCAGCATCATCATCATCATCATCATCACCATCATCGGCATCCTCATCAGAATCGGCATCAACATAATCGTCATCATCATTAATACTATCATCATCAGCATCATCATAATCAATAGCATCAGCATCGCCATCATCAGCATCATCATCGTCATCAACATCGGTACACACGTCGGAACCTCTATCAATCTATATATATATACACAAGACTGCAGTGGCGCTTCGCGCCATGCACGTTGGTCCTTGAAGTTTGGTATGCAGGCGGAATAGAAGGAAGGTCAAGCCGACCATTTAGCGATAACTCCTTGCTGCCTTTTTCCAGCATCGCCACTATAATAATGTTATTCGTTATCCTTCCTCCATGCTTCTTTTCCCTCATGTTCGCCATACCCTGCGCATTCTCCCCATCCTCCTCGGCTTTTTTTTGCAGAGGCTCCTACTTGGAGAGCCTCTGGGGGCCTCACAACAGTTGTTCCAGGCTTTCTGAAGGCCTTCTGGAGGCCTCCTGGGCGTATTCTGGTGGCCTCTGGCGGCTTCCTCCGGCCACCCGCCTCCAACCGCGGTCTCCCTGAACAACCAGGTCACGATTTGGAATGCTTCGGAGGGTGTCTTGGGGCCATCTTGGGCCGCCAAGGGGCTCTCTGAAGGCCATCGTGGACCCGTGTTGTGCCGTTTTGGGACTCTCTTGGACTGCCTGGAAGCCCTTTCAGATGGTTGTGGGGCGATTTTGGAGCCTCCCAGGCGGCTTCGGACGCCCAGAAGACCGCCGTCTTGGAGCGTCGGGAAGCCGAAAAGAGGAGAACCCCGAAATTCACAAAAAAAAAAAAAAAACATCAGAAAATCAATGATTGTTGCCTCTTGGGGCCTTCTTGGGAGTGCTTTTGGAGGCCTCTTTGGGGCCGTCCTGGAGGCCTCTTGGGCCATCTTGAGGTCACGTCGGTCACTCTTGGAGCGCTCTTGTGCTGTCTTGGGGGTCTCTGGGACGTCTCCGATGGCCCCCCTGATCGCCCTAGGTGTGATGGGAAGGCTTGGCAAAACGCCCTGCGAGGCCCGGGGGGCCGCTTCGAGGCCTGTCCGGAGGGTCCCAAAGCCCCAGATCTCGGGAGTCCGGTTTTGGGGGGGTTCTTCCCCCCCGCCCAGGCTTGCAAAAATATAGGAAGAGGACCTAGAACCATCGCGTGCGCTTCGCGCGCGCTCAAGTTCTAGCTAAGATCCTCGTAATCATCACCATCGCCATCCTCATCGCCATCATCTTCATCGTCATCGTCATCGACATCGTCATCATCACCATCACCATCACCATCAACACCATCATGATCACCACCACCATCAGCAACACAATCGTAATCACCGTCGGTATTATCACAATCGTCATCATTGTCATGATCGTCACCCGCATCACCTTCAGCATCGTCATCATCGTCATTATCATCGTCGTCATCATCACCATCGTCATCGTCATCGCCATCATCGTCGTCTTCGTCGTCGTCCTTGCCCTCAGCATCCCTCCCCAAGACCGAGCGTCTTGGTAACTGGGGTTGTGGACCTGAGGCCGCCATGCCTGAGTGATGGGCCAGTGGCCTGCTGGATGCCTGTTCGGATTTGGGTGGTGGAAGTCTTTCGGAGGCCTCTTGGAGAGCTCTAGGGGGGCTCTTGGGTACTTCGTGGTTGCGTCTTGGGGCCCCTTGCTTGGGAGTCTCTTGGGGACCTCTTGAAAGCTTGGGGCTTCCTGAGCGCCTCTGGAGGGCCTCTTGGGGCTTCTTGGGGTCCTCTGTTGGGCGAGGGCTCGAAATTTCGGTTCGTGTTCCCCCTCTGGGTCCTAGAACCACGCGCGCACTTCGCGCGCGCTTAGGTTACTGTCGATTCTGGACACGGCTTCAGTATCTAAGCGAGTTGTCACATGGGGTATTGCAAGTGCCTCCCGTTGACGTATAGTTGATGTTCGGGCGGATACTACGAAGCCCAAGCACAAGGTTAGACTGTACCATACAACTCTGGATTCAAATCCGTCCCGAGCGTTGCGGTACAATCGCTGGCACGTTCAGCGTGGTAGAATGCCAAGTGATGTTTGGTCTGGCTTCTGTAATATGCTAAGGGGCCCTCCGCTCTCCTGTGTGCGCCTCCCTGCGTGAATCGCCTCCTGTTCTCGAGGCTCTGTCGGCGCCCAGACATGTCTCGGCGCTCGTGAAAGCGCTTTACGTGCCCAACATGGCTTCCAAAACGGACCTGGGAGGCCTCCTCACCCGCCAAGATGGCTCATGATGCCTCCAAGATGGCCCAAGCGGTTCCAAAAAGGCCCAAAGAGCGCGCGAAGAGGACCCCCATGAAGGACCAAACAAGCACAAATATTGATGTCCAATACGTCTTCGATGCTTGTTATGTTATCGCTTTTCGACCTCCTGGCGCTCCAAGACGGGCAAGACCGCCCCAAGACCGCCCCAAGACGCCTGCAAGACCGCCCCGAGACGATGGTGGGCGGAAGCCCAAGGAATCATGTTCTGGGAAAGCTGTCTGGGAAATGAGGTCTCTTGGGGGCCCGCAGGGGGCTTCCCTGGGGGCCCCTTGAGGGCCTATTGGGCTTCCGGGGGGCCTCTTGGGAGCCTCGCAGGGCTTCTCGGGAGCCTCTTGATGGCCTCCGGGGGCGTCCTAGGAGCCTCTCAGGCCGGAGATCTTGAAATGTCGCGCTCTTCGGGCCCTCTTGGGTCGCTCTTGGGGCTCTCTCGGGGCACTCCCGAGGCCCTCTTGAATTATATGGGGAGCCTCCTGGGCCGTCTCCGGCCTTTCTTGGGGGCCTCCGCGGCCGTCTTGGAGCGATCTGAAGGGCCTCTGACGACGTCTGGGACCGTGGGGAGGCGGAACATGCGAGAGCGCAAAAATGCTTGAAAAGTCCCAGGGGCCCTGGGAACCCCCCAATACCCCCATGGGGGGGTACGGCACTGGCCCGCCCCCCCCGGCCTACTGCGATATGTGTGTATATATACACACATATACATATAGATCTACATATATACACACATACCGATACAGATATACCTCTACGACCACCCTTCGGCTGATAAGGAGGTTCGGGGGGGGAGGAACCAACGTCTCACTCGATCGGTCTCACTATCGATCTCACGATCGATCTCACTCGATCGATCTCACTCGACCTATTTCATTCGATCGATCTCACAATCGATCTGACTATCGATCTCACAATCGATCTCACTATCGATCTCACTGTCGATAACACAATCGATCTCACATTCGAGCTCGCTATCGATCTCACGATCGATATCACAATCAACGTCATCATCATCATCATCATCATCATCATCATCATCAACAACATCATCGTCATCAACGGCATCAACATCATCATCAACATCATCAACACCATCCTCATCATCATCGGGACACCATCATCACCACCTCATCACCATCATCATCATCATCATCATCACCATCATCATCATCGGAACACCATCGCAATCACCATCATCGTTATCACGATCATCATCGGGACACCATCACGATCGTCATCACCGGAAAACCACCATCGTCATCATCGTCTCATCATCATCATGAACAGCATCATCAACATCATCATCATCGAGACACCATCATTGTCATCAGCAAAATCATCATCATGAACATCATCATCATCGGGACACCATCATCGTTGTCACCATCATCATCACCATCATCATCGGGACACCATCATCATCATCAACATCAGCATCATGATCATCACCATCATCGGGCCACCATCATCAAAATCATCAGCATCACCTCATCATCATCCTCATCATCAACATCATCATCGGGACAACATTATCGTCATCATCATCGACAACATCCCCACCATCGGGACACCATCATGATCACCATCATCATCAACAGCATCATCATCATCATCAACCTCATCATCATCGGGACACCATCATCATCAGCATCATCATCGTCATCCTCACCATCGTCATCATCACCATCTCTTCATCATCAACATCATCACCATCATCATCAACATCATCATCGGGACACCATCATCATCATCAGCAATATCATCATCAACATCAACATCATCGGGACACCATCATCATCACCACCATCACCATCATCATCATCATCATCATCGTCAACATCATCACCATCATCATCGGGACACCATCATCATGACCACCATCACCAACATCATCATCAACATCATCGACATCATCATCATCATCATCATCATCATCATTATCATCATCATCATCATCATCATCATCATCATCATCATCATCACCATCATCATCATCATCATCATCAGCGGGACACCGACGGGACACCGGCGGGACACCGGCGGGACACCGCGGGCCACCAGCCTCCGGAAAGGAATCATTTGGTCCGGCCGCGCCTCAGCCGGAGGCGGGACACCGGCGGGACACCGAGGGCCGCCGGCCCCCGGCAAGGAATCATTTGGTCTGGCCGCGCCTCAGCCAGAGGAGACTTTCTTCTCGACCGCCCACGCAGCTTAGCCTCGCCCGCACGCACGGCACGCACGAACACGAAACCGAAACCGATTTCTCGGTAGGGGGGCTCTCCGTTCCACTTCGATCTCACCCCCTCACCTCCGATACACGCACATACATACATACAGACATACATACATACATAAATACATGCATACATACATGCATACATACATACATACATAAATACATACATACATACATACATACATACATACATACATACATACATACATACATACATACATACATAAATACATACATACATACATACATACATGCATACATACATACACACGTGCATCCATACATAAATCCATACATATAGACATACAAACATACATGCAGGCATACATACATGCATGCATACATGCATACATGCATACATGGCTACATCGATACATACACATACGTACCTGCACACATGCATGCATGCATGCATGGATGCATACATACATACCTACCTACATACATACAGGCATACATGCATACATTCATACACATGTGTACATACATACATACATACATACGTACATACATACATACATACATACATACGTACGTACGTACGTACATACATACATACATGCATACATACATACGTAGATACATACAGACATGCATACACGCATACATACATACATGTACACACAACTACATACACACACAAACACGTGTACATACATACATGCATGCATACATGCATACATGCAGTATACGTGCGTACATGCATATATACATATATACATACATACATGCATGCATGCATACATACATACATACATGCATGCATACACATAGTCATACATATACATATACACACACGCATACCATGATATACCCATATACATACATACAAACATACATATATACATACATGCATACATACATACATACATACATACATGCATGCATGCATTCATATATTCATATAGTCATACATACATAAATACATACATACATGCATGTCTACATACAAACGTACAGTTATACATACATGCATACATACATACCCTTTCTCAGGATGCGCAAGTCGCCTCTTCCTCCTCCTCCTCCTCCTCCTCCTCCTCCTCCTCCTCCTCGTATGTACTTCCGACGAGAAGGGGATTGATGGTATATACCCTCACTGGGAGGGGCTCGATGCATACAGCACGTCGTTTGGTCGGTCAAGGAGCTCAGTGTGCAGACGCCCCAACTGCCCACCCTTTGGGACGCTGGAGCGTCTGAACACCGAACTCCCTCGCCGAGCTCTGTGGCTCCCTGGCCGACCAAACGACGTGGTATATCCAGCAGGTTATCGAGCCAGAGCACCCAGTAGTAACCTCGATCCCCGATCTCCCCCCCTCCTCCCAGACATCCTCCATGGTATACTGTGCTCAGTCCGCGGCCCCAGAGCTCCAGACCCCTTCCCCCAGGGGCATGTCGCTCCCATCGCACGTAAGGACCACATCCCAGAAATAAGTTCGAGCACCCAGAAGAGTGTCGAGAGAGCGTCGAAACGGTGTCGAAACGAGTGTCTCTCCCAGGGGCCGACGCGTGAAAACCCTTTGAGTGTTGGGGGTATCTTCCTGGTGCTCGAAATTATTCTTGCTGGTGATCAAGGCTAAAGCAGGCTGGAACATCATACCCCCAGGGGTTGGCTCTCGCCCCAGATCCAGTATACCATCGAGACCCCCCAAAGCACCCAGTAGCCTCGATCCTTGATCTACCCCCCCTCCTCCCAGACATCCTCCAGGATATGCTGTGCTCAGTCCGCGGCCCCAGAGCTCCAGGACCCCCTCCCCCAGGGGTTGGCCCTCGCCCCAGCTCCGCTCTCGCCCCCCAGGCCCGACCACGGGCCCCAGAGGCCGCACACGAGGAGCGACGCCACCGCCACCACAACCACCACCGGCCGAGCATCCAGAGGGGGGCGCGTGGGCACAGCGAGCTGCAGCAGCGGCGGCCACCACGAGAAGGGTGAGGGTCCCTGTCCATCAGGAAGTGCCCGACAAACGAGGTCAACCTGCTCCTCCTCCTCCTCCTTGCGCTTCGTGTCCTCCTCCTCCTCCTCCTCCTCCTCCTCCTCCTCCTCCTCCTCCTCCTCCTCCTACTCCTCCTCCTCCTCCTCCTCCTCCTCCTCCTCCTCCACCTCCTCCTCACCTCGTACTCCTACTCCTCCTCCTACTCCTCCTCCTCCTCCTCACCACCATCAACCACCAAGAAAGGTGAGGGCTGAGCACGGAAAGCGTATGGAGGGAAGGAAGAAACGGAGGGAGACACGGCACGCTGCGACTGCAGAAAGCCATCCGCAAGTGTTGGGCAGGCTCGAGCACCAGTCCTGTCGGCTCGGATCTGGAACGAGAGCGCAGCGGGGATGAGCAAACCGCATCGTCAGAGATCTGGGCTCCGCTCCCGAGCCCCGAGCGCCGTCGGCCCAGCACGGCGGGATCCCCTCGGGCAGGGCTGGCGTCGGCCGGTGCGGGCCGAGCGGCACGGGGAGGACCACCTCCACAGCCGCAGAGCAGCCCCTGCCCCCGAACCTAGAGGCCTCCCAGATGGGGTCGGAGCAGATGGGGTCGGAGGATCGCGCCGCATCATCGACGCATCGATGATGCATCGACGAGGCATCGGCGACGTCGGCGGGGCATGGGCGACGCCGGCGTGGAGAAAATCGGGCTCCACATCGAGCCGCATCGCCGATGCGTCGGCGATGCGGCGCGATCCGCCGACCCCATCTTCTCGGACCCCATCTGGGGGGCCTAGAGAACCAGCCCGAGCGCTCGGGCATCGAGGCTGCGCCCTCGACGGTGCCGAAGAGGAACCCGTCCAGGTTCTTGTGCGACACGAGCACCTCGGATCTGAGGACTTGATTTTATCATCTCTGGTAACGGTCGTTACCTGGGGTGGGGGTGGGGGGGAGACCCCGGGTAAAGGTAACGCTTGAGCGGGGTGGAGCACGTCGGGGTGGTGCGCTGCGACCGTCATAATATGCGCGTGAGCACCAGTATGTGAGGGGATCCATGTCCCCCCCCATGACGTACGATCGTTGCCGTTATTTCTGCGGGGGAGGAGTTGGCCCGGGTAAAAATGACCGTTACGCGCCAGAGGATTACAAAACGGTCTTCAACCCAGACAACCTCCAAAAAAATATCACGACGGACAATTGATTCGCCATTCTCAACCTGGGGCCCTCGCAGGGTCACAGGACCGTCAAAAAACGACTCGGGACGAAAAACTGGCCATGGGAAAAGGGACAGGACTCCTGGAGACCGCGTTTTGAAAAAAACGAAGACCTCGCATTGAATGGGAACAGAAGTAAAGGATGCCACGTGTTTCGTCCCTTTCGGCCTCTGGGGGCCGCTTTCGGCCCCACGGGCCGCCGAAAACGGATCCAGGGTGAAGACCAGTCTCAGGATGGACTCGGAGGGGTCCGGGTCTTGGGGCCGATTTTGATTTGAGCAGGTGTCCGTCGGCAGGTTCCGAGGACAAGTTGTGCTGTGTACCGACAGCGGAGCTCTCTCCCTCTCTCGCTTTTTCGCCCTTGGAGGGCCCGCTGCGGGGCCCTGTGTCGCCACGGCTTGATTCGCGGGGTCCCCAGACATCCGCCGTCTTGGACTTCTCGATGCTGAAGGGGCCCTGGGACACACAAATAAATACACCCAAATAAAAGTAGTCCCCATATTTTCCTATATTTTCTGGGTTTTTGTCTTCCCCCCCACTTCCAATATTTTCCCATATTTTCCTGGGAATCGAGGATTAATTGTGTCTGTGTGTTTCTTTTCCTCTTGAAATGCGCGGTCTGGTCCCGAGACTGAGAGCAGCTGCAGAGCTCGTGCTCTTTCGTTGGACGCGCACCGGCAAGAAACACTGGCCAACAACGACAAGAGCGCCGAGATCGGTGACCTGGCGCCAGCTCCAGCCGAAGAAGTATTCGCGCCAGTGCCCATCGTGCCGAGTGGAGCGCGCGGGCCGCGAGTGCGGCCACACGCAGGAGGGACCCTGCAGTTAGAATGACCTCTGGCGCGCGGCTTCTGGGGAGCCGCGGGGTGACCACCGACGTCAGAAGCTCTGGACCAGCGGCTCAATGCGCGGTCCTCAGAATTTCTGGGCCCCGTCCCCACCGGCTCTTCCTCCCCGAGCCGTTTTTCGACGGCCCTAGGGCCCCGCGAGAGCCCACTGAGGCCCCCCCCAAAAAAACGCACTGAGTGTCTCAAGGCGTTGGAGGTCTGGGTCTGCAAGCACCCCAGGAGAAGTCCAGGGAGCAGCGGCATCAGCACTACGGCAGCACCGCGTTGTGCTCCCCCCGGCGCCCGCTCCCCGGCCGCCAGGATCAGGAAGTGGGGCGAGTTGTGCGCCGCGCAGCCGTCCCAGTCCTCCTCGTCGATGGGGGGCGGGGGTGGGGCCCGGGTTTCGCCACGTGCTCGACGGATCTCAGCTAGACGTAAGAGTGACCCTGGGTAAGAGTGACCTTTGGTGCGCAGCTTTTGGGGGGCGCGAGGGAGCCAAACCCAAGGGCGCGGGCCGCTTCTATCGCATCGTGCTCGGCGATCGGGGGGAGCCCGACGAGCCCGCACCAAAGGTCACTCCGGCGAATGGTCACTCTTACGTCTCGTCGAGGATCCTGGACCCCCCACCCCCCCGCCTCTCATCGGGCCGCAAGGCTCGGACTCCGCCGCCGACCGCTCCCCCCCCCCCCGGGCAAGGACTCGGCCGCAGGGCCTGCGCCGCGCCTCCCGCCGGCGCTGGCCAGACGGGTCCCTGGGGGAGCGGCGCCGGTGAGGGCAGGTCCCGGGGAGCGGCGCGGTGGCCAGACGTCGCAGGGGCGGTTATCAGCGAGTACCGATGGATTTTGATCTGCTCCGTCTCCTTCCTCCAAGGGGGCGGTTATCAGCGAGTACCGATGGATTTTGATCTGCTCCGTCTCCTGGGGGCGGAGGTCCGCCCCCAGGAGCTGACCACCGAGATGGGAGGGGCCAGCCCAGAGATCACTTGGCAAGGGCGCCTGACGTCGCGCTTCGCGCTGCGCGAATAGCTTCGCGCTCCTAACGGGCGCCGCGCCCCGGAGGAGAAAAGGAGGATGAGGAGGAAACGGTGCCGAACCGCGAAGCGCGAATAACTCCGCAGCCTCGAGGGCGCCATGGACTCTACTAAACAGAACAACGGCGTATACATGAGCTTCCGGAGGCCCGCGCGGATTTCTTGGATCGGCGTTGAACCGCCCTCCCTGGCCCGCGGAGCGCGCCAGAGGCGGCGCGCGCGCCAGGGACGGCGCTGGAGGCGCTGCCGGCGGGCCAAGCGCCGATCCAAGAAATCCGCGCGGACCTCCAGAGCTTCGTGCTCACGCCCCGTGCTCCCAGACATCCTGCGACGTGCTCCGCTTCTGCCGCGCCCACCCGGGGCTCCCGAGACCCCGCATGCATCGTTGGTGGCCCCCGGGCCCGGCAACGGGCCCCGCGGGCCGAGATCGAGGAAAAAAACACCAGGATCCTGGACCTTCCTCTCCGACACCGCGGTTCTGTGGGGGTCCTTGATCAGCACGCTGTCTCCCGGCCGCGGCCAGTCCCCCCCGCGGGCCACCTGCTGCCCGAAGGCGGGCAGCAGGCGCGCCAGGCGGTCGTCCTCCTCGTAGCCGCCGGCCCCGAGGCCGAGGGCCATGGCGCGCCGGGGGGGAGGGGCGCTCGCTGCGCCCCAGACCTGTGGGGTGCCTTGAGCTTCCCAGTGCGGCTGGCCCTGTGGATAGGAGGCCACGTGCGAACCCTACCCCACCTCCTCCCTCAGAACTCGTGGGGTGGTGGGGTGGGGTCCGCACGTGGCCTCCCAAGGGACCTCTTCCCCAGGCCCAGCTCTTCCTCCCGAGCCGCTCCTCGAGAGCCGACACCACGAAACCCCACCCGCCCCCCTGCGGCCTGTGTCGGGCCGGAGCGACCTGCGAGGGCCCCAGGGCCCGCACTGGGGCGAAATCGCCCCGGCGCGAACAAAAAATACACCGCCAGGATTTCAGGGCCTCCTTGACGCTCCCGGGGCACGGCGAGGGACCCCCGGGGGGGGGCCCAAGACGACGACCTACCAGACCGCCCCAACCCAACCCGAAGACCCGAGTTCGACCCGAATTTCGGGTTGGGGGGGGGTACGGGTGCCCTGTGTTTTTTGTCGGTCTAGAGGCCCCGCCCGCCTGTGCTCTGTCTCCCCAATTAGAGCTGTGCGTAGCCCGCCTAGCTTTTAACCGGAAGAGGTTCGCTCTCGCCCCGCAGACCAAAAAAGTTGTTTCGGTCTTCCCCGACCCCCCCCCTCACTGGGAACGGAGGACAGATGGAGGCCTTCGGGTTGGGCCGGGGTGGTTTGGTGGGTGGTGACAGGACGGCGAACAAAGTCTGCTGCACTGAGCTCCTCGAGGCGCTGGAGGTCTGGGGCACCGGCCTCGGCACTCGCGCCTGGGCCAGAATGCGCGCAACGCCGGATGCGGAGGAATAAAAAGCGGCCCAAACATACAGTGGGGACGCGCATGGAGAAACCATCTGCTTTTCGTCAGGGCACCCTGGATTTCATCGCTCCGCGCGCTGCGCAGTGACTCCCAGCGGCCGTGGAAGAAGCTGCTGCGTTCAGGGTGCTCTGGGGTTCCCCCCCACCCCCCGCGTGCATCTCGCGCGCGGGTTTTCAGGGCTAGGCTTCTTGCGAGGGTTTCTTGCAGCCGCGTCCGCACTGATAATTTCCCGAGCTCCGCGCGGATTTCTTGGATCTGCGCTGAACCACCCTCCCTGGCCAACGGAGCGCGCCAGGGGCGGCGCTGCAGGCGCCGCCAGTGGGTTCCAGCGCAGATTCAAGGAATTCCGCACGGAGCTCCGAAAGTTTGTGTTTATGCAGCTGTTTCTTCTTCGAAGACGCGCCCCAGCCAGCCGCCAGTGGCCCCGCGCCACCCCCGCGGGGGGCCGCAGCACTGCCGCCTCGGGCCGAGAGGCGGCTGTCGCGGACCTCGGGCTGGTGGACGGGAGGGGCGGAGTGCGACGGCGGGAGCCACCGAGGGTTGGAAAACAATTCCTGGGAGGCCTTCGTGAGAACGATCATGGGCTATTGAGCATGGTTGGAGGGCCATGATAACCAGATTAGGCTGGATGATGTGGGGGATTGGGCCAGATGAAGCGGGTCTGAGCGGAATTGCAAGGGATTGTGCCGGATTGCTCATGTCTTCGATCACGGATCATTGCGGTCGGGAGCTTTTGCTAGCGTGTCACCGGCAGCGGCCCTGGCGACACGCTGTGCCTTGCGAGCGGATAGCGTGTCGCCCCGCTCCGCGGGGCGGCAGGTTCGGAAAGGCGATTAGCGTGTCGCGCCGAGGCCTGGTGGGCCAGAACTGGTGGAGCGACATGCTATCCAAAAGCTCCCGGCCGCAAGCGGGAAAGCGGAGTGCGCGGGACCGATGTCTCATCGGCTGTGATCACGGACCCCGACGCCTGCAATAAGTTTGCTCTCGCGGCTGGTCTGGTCGAACACCCACGAGATGTTGCCCCCCCCCCACAGCCGACGACGAAAATGGTCCTGACGGAGTGGCTTTTCAGTGTTGTCCCGAGGATGTTGCTGCCGCGGGCCTGCCGGGCCCACCCGAAGGCTCTCGTGAACTTTGGGAGCAAGGTGTTCCTGGACGGCTCCTGCCTAAAATCGTCGGTTCGAGACATGTGCCGTCCTCACTTCCCCCTTCCTCCGCTTCCCCCGTCCTCACCCCCCCTCTTTGGACTTCCCCGAGCCTCCTCGAGCACGGCGCACGGGTCCGCCGCCACGCCCCTTTACACAGGAGCAAGGAAAAGCGACACAACCACCACCACCACCACCACTTGGGACCACCAGCGGGAGGAATAGTCCGTCTTGGTCCAGGCGGCAACCGCACGGCCCTGTATGGGGCAGCTGCCCTCAGACCTCACGGGCAGGAGAATATGTTCTGCCAATGCTTGTGTGCGGCGCTCTGATCTCCTGGCCGGGCAAGCTTGTCAGAGACTGCGCCAGCGTCGTCGGCATGCACGCGTTGCCTGCCCATGCCCGCCTTTCGCCCAACGGGCCGTACGCGGGGATGGTGATGCAGGGGCAGGCGTTGGGCGGGAGCAATCTGCCGAGGTACGAGGAGGTCAAGGCGCATCAGGCGCTATGCCTCCCGAAGCTTTCTCCTGATGAGCGTTCGTTGCGGGTCGGCAACGACTATTCCGATCGTGCCGCCAAGCTCAGGGCGGCAGCGCACCCGTCCGCTGACGCCTCGACATTGGCCGACATGAATGCCGACAGTTTGTTGAGCAGGTACCGTCAGGCCTGCTGCCGAATTGCTCCCGGGGTAGCCCAGGATCGACCTTCAAAGAGGTGCCTTGGTCCACCCCGCGAGTGCCAGAGCAGGCGGGGGGGGGCGCCAGCCTCCACACGTGGACCTGGTTAGGCCCTGCTGTTGGTTCGCCGCGTTCGTGGCGGTGCTCGACCTGTCTCCGCACCAAGCGCGGAATCCAAGTCACATTTGCCCTCCCCCAGGCCGTTGCTCAGAGTCCCCTCGGGTCAGTGTGCAGAGGTTTCGGGACTTGAATCGTAAATGTGTCAAGCTTGATTGTACGAACGACTCTCTTACTGTCGCTTGTTTAGAATGCAGATCTTACACGGCTGTTGCTCGTCTGGCCAAGCTCGGTGAGTTGTGTGTGGGGGGGGGGGGGGGGCCCCCCGGAAGAAAGATTCCAAGACTGGCAAAGACAAGTACACCCAGGATTCTGGGAATCAGATTTGCAAAGGCCTCCACCCCAAAGAGAAGGGAGTCACTTTGCTTTCAAACACATTTTGCGTGCTTTATTCACGCAGCGAGGCCGTAGTGCTCAAACACGTCCTCCTCCTCCTCCTCCTCCTCCTCCTCCTCCTCCTCCTCCTCCTCCTCCTCCTCCTCCCCCATCCTCCTCCGTTTCCTCCTCCCCCTCCTCCTCCTCCTCCCCTCCTCCTCCTCCTCCTCCTCCTCCTCCTCCTCTTCCTCCTCCTCCTCCTCCTCCTCTCCTCCTCCTCCTCCTCCTCCTCCTCCTCCTCCTCCCCTCCTCCTCCTCCTCCTCCTCCTCCTCCTCCTCCTCCTCCTCCTCCTCCTCCTCCTCCTCCTCCTCCTCCTCCTCCTCCTCCTCACCTCCTCCTCCTCCTCCTCCTCCTCCTCCTCCTCCTCCTCCTTCCTCTCCTCCTCCTCCTCCTCCTCCTCCTCTTCCTCCTCCTCCTCCTCCTCCTCCTCCTCCTCCTCCCTCCTCCTCCTCCCTCCCTCCTCCTCCTCCTCCTCCCTCCTCCTCCCTCCTCCGCCTCCTCCTACCTCCTCCTCCTCCTCCTCCTCCTCCTCCTCCTTGCCTCCTCCTCCTCCTCCTCCTCCCCCTCCTCCTCCCTCCTCCCCTCCTCCTCCTCCTCCTCCTTCCTCCTCCTCCTCCTCCTCCTCCTCCTCCTCCTCCTCCTCCTCGCTCCTCCTCCTCTCCTCCTCCTCCTCCTCCTCCTCCTCTCCTCCTCCTCCTCTCCTCCTCCTCCTCCTCCTCCTCCTCCTCCTCTCCTCCTCCTCCTCCTCCTCCTCCTCCCTCCTCCTCCTCCTCCCTCCTCCTCCTCTCCTCCTCCTCCTCCTCATCCTCCTCCTCCTCCTCCTCCTCTCCTCCTCCTCCTCCTCCTCCTGCACCTCCTCCTCCCTCCTCCTCCTTCTCCTCCACCTCCTCCTCCTCTTCCTCCTCCTCCTGTCCGAGCTCCAGCGCAGCTCGTCATGTCCATGCCCGCCGGACGCTGGCCCTGCCCTGCCGGTCCACCACGATGCCCTGCTCGAGCGTTTTCCCAGATTGGCCCCAAGGCAAAACAATCCCCCTCCTCCTCATCCTCCTCCTCCTCCTCCTTTCCCTCCTCCTGCTCCTCCTCCCCCTGCTCCATCTCCTCCTCCTCCTCCTCTTTCTCCCCCTCTGCTGCACTGTTGCACTGCTGTGTCACAAGACCACTCTAGGAGCAGAGAGCGACAAAAATATATGGACGGAAGGCAAAGGCGACGCTTACGGAGAAGAAGGAAGGCCGAGACAGAGGGAGGAAAGAGGGAAAGAAGAGAATAAGCGTCGCCGAAGCCCCAAACCCAAAACCCCGCCTAGTCCGGTCCCAGGACAGGGTGGGTTCATTGCTGCTGGCAGTCGTCTCACCCCATCCCCTTCCCATACCCACCCCATCAAAGAAATCGACAGGCTGTCAAGAGCAAGCCTGTTCTTACATTCCTGAGGAGGGGGAGGAGGGGGAGGTCGGAGACCCTCAACAGCTAAAGCACGACCTTACATTTCGCTGTTCAGGGGCTCGGGGCGGGAGGTGCTGCTACCTGCCCACTGCGGAGAGAGCCCGTAAGGCCTAAACCGCCGGGTAGTTCTCGCGGAACTTCTCCCAGTCGATGGCGTGGCCGTTTGCGATCGCCAGCTTCGCAACTAGGTCGTGCACAGCCTTCTCCACCTCAGGCGAGGAGGCGCCCAGGTGCTGGAGAGAAGCCACCTGCTCCGCCAAAAAGCCTGTCTCCCCCAATCTATCTGCGCACTCCTTGGCCCACAGCGCCGTGTCAGCCGCGGTCTCCTCCATGCTGCTGAAGGAGCCGTTCTGCGCTTCGTCGGCGCTCTGGCCCGACTTGTCGTCAGCAGCCAAGTCGAAAATCTCTGCGTGGGAGGTCTCCGCGGGTGCCGTGGTGCGAGAAATGATCCCTGCAGAGTGCGCCAATTCGTCTGCCAGCACGGCCGCATAGGCCCATTGGCCCAAAGGCGAGGTGAGACCGCACTCGTAGCACAAGGCATCCGTCTGCATGGCAGATTCGTTGGGGTTCGGAGGAACCGCTTCACACTGTTCTTCTTGCTCATCACGCTCCTCCGCTGGACAACCATGGTCAGAGGCAGACGGGTCGTTTTCAGGTGAAGATGTTGAAGCCGATGTAATACTGGGCGCCGAAACAGGCGTGGAAGCAGGCTGCGAGCCATCTGGAGCGGCCCTGCCACGCCTCTTATGTTTCTGCTTCGCTTCTCTGCCAGACTTTGGCAGAGCTCCCTCGCCGCCCTCGCCAGCTCCAAGGCTATTGTGCAAGGCACAGTTGCGGAAAGCCTTGGTGGACCCGTCGAGGTTTGCTCGCACCCCTTGCCGCCCAGCTCGAACGAGGCCTTCCAGAGCAGGACGGGCGATGTCGAACCGAGCGTCGACCTCCGCCTTGATATCGGAGTCGCTGGTGTCGAGCGTGGCTGTGCCGGCCGCCTCGCAGCTCAGGATGAGACGCCAAAAAACCGCTGCGGTCGCTGCCACGACATGGCGGCTCGTTCCCGCCCGCACGATGGCTCCCAAGAGGTTGCAAGCAACAATTTCGCCTTCCGTCACGGGCCCGGACATTGATGTATACGGAACGCGGTATACCGTGCCACTCAAGATTCCAATATGCGGAAGAAGGTGCAGAGCAAAATTCGTTGGGTATCGGAAACAGATTGAGCCAAAATGGCTACGGACTTCTCCTCCTCCTCCTCCTCCTCCTCCTCCTCCTCCTCCTCCTCCTCCTCCTCCTCCTCCTCTCCTCCTCCTCGGCTTCCTCCTCCTCCTCCTCCTCCTGTTCCTCCTCCTCCTCCTGCTCCTCCTCCCCCCCAAATTGTCAGCGGGGACCCTGGGCTGGACCTGACCAGCCAAGGGGCCCCCGAACGCCCCGAACAGCAGGAGGAGCCCGTCCACGAGCCCGCATGCGCGGCGCGAGAAACAAGGCCCACGCCCCTTGCCCTTGCTCGCCCAGGTGTCAAAAGTTTCGGAGAGGGCGAGCGTCTGGGTCTTGGCCCAGATCTCCGACGATTCAACTTGTTCGATCCAAATTTTTCCTCGAGTTCGGCCTCCGAGGCCTGTTATCGGGCCACGGGGCCATCAAAAATGGATCCCGGGCGCAAAACTACCCCCAGGGAAAGGGTCTGGAGCTCTGGAGAATGTCTGGGTTTGTCACTACGAACGCCGCCCCTCCTTGCTCTACGCAGCCCCGAGCTCTCGCGCGTCAGCACCCGCCCTTGCACCTCGCGAGGGGGGCGGGGGGGCGTGCAACTCTCCCCGCACTCCCCCCCGAGTCCTGTGACCCTGCTGAGAGGGACCGCGAGGAGCGTGAAGACGCCGAGCAAGCCGCCAGAGAGCAAGATTAGGCCGCAGATCGGATAGAACCAGACATTCACCTCGGGGTGGCTCAGTGTCCCCGTTGCCGCATACACGAGGGTTTTGACGACGACCGGCGCCAAGCTGAACCACGTCATGCAGCACCCAATGGCCTCTCGGGCGCTGCTCGCCCACAAACTTGTCTGGCCCGTGCGCTTGCGTCGTCATTATAGTCACAGTCACTGCTGTTTGCCCTCGTCGTGATCACCGGAACTATGACCATTTCTGCCACGACAGCCACCTTCTCTGAATATCCTCAGGAGCAACTGCAGCCCCTTCATACTGGTGCCTGCGGAACCTTGCAGACAATGTGCGGATCTCTAGCCGTTGCTCATTTCATCGTTGCCTTCATCCCCACAATCCCTCCTGTTCGCCCGCACGTCTCCCCTTCACGCGACCCTTCCTGGACCTCCACCCTCTGCGCTGGCTCGTGACTCTTACCCGCTCGGACCGTCCCGACACCCACTTCCAAGATCACCGACGACTCGATCTGATGGAGTCGCCAGCCTCCGGATCTCTCGCCCCTTTCCTGGGACGGGCGCTTCATCCTGGGTAGTTTTTAACTTGCGGGGCCCAGAGGCAGATTCCGGACGCCGGAAAGAAATGCAAGATAGCACACTCCGGGTGGGTACGGCCTTGCCCTTGTCTTCAGGGACGATCAGCTGGCCCAAGACAGACAGCGTGGCCATCACCGCCCAAATGGAGGCTTGCCCCAAGAACGGCATGCTCACTATCGCCGCCTGCCCTTCCCCTGAGAGCCACCCATCTACCAAACTGGTTGCGATGGATACCTATTGCCGTCCTCCACCCTCGGCCTCATATCCCACTCCTCTTGAGCATACCGGCGACAACCTTCCACGTCAATCATAACAAGATCCCAGTCGTGCGAGCAAGAGCAGCGGCATAGATCGTCAACCCTCGGCTCGCGCGATAGGTGATACCAGCTAGAAAGAATAGAATTGCAGCGATTTTCGTGGGTACTCGCGGGCGCAATCAACTGCTGCTGCAGAAAATGTTACTGCTGCTGATACACAAAACTTAAGCTGAGCTGTTGCAAATGCGCTCGCTGCAACAACAACATTCCTCGGCGGCTCTTTTCTGGAAAGGCTTGACCGAGCACTGGGGGATCCGCCACTGTGCCCTCAGCACATATTGGAGTGCACCCCAAGGTGATGAAATTGAGAGGGTTCGGAGGGTCGTGGGATTCTTGGGGGGCCCGACAACTGATTTCAAAGAATTCTGGAATTTTCGGGCTAGGCGCTTCTGGAGTGTATCGCGTGAACCGTCTGGAGGCTGAGCCCGCCCCAAACAACGCCAAGATCCGCCAAAAGTCTCAACAAGATCCACACGAGGCTCAGGATGCCCAGAGGGGTATTCTAGAGGTCCCATGGGACCCTAGGAGGCCCACGAGTGCCTCAAAAAGAGACTCCAAGACGCTCAAAGAGAGGCCCCAAGCAGCCAGAACTGAGACAACACGATTGTCGTTCAGTGTGCTTCGCATGTTTGGCTTCTCGGCTCAAAACGGTTTCAAGATGGCTTCAAAGAGCTCCAAAGCTGCCCAAGAGGGCCCCAAGAACCACGCAAGACTGCCCTGTGGTGCCCCAAGAGGCCCCCCAGACGGCTCGAGACAGCCTCTGGGAGAGGCCAAGACAGCAAAACAGGGCTTCAAGACAGCCCAAGACAGGCCCAGGACACCCCAAGAGAGCCCCCCGAAGGCCCCCGAACGCTCTTGAGACGGCTCTGGAGGGCCAGGATACCCCCAGTCCTCCAGGAGATCCCCCAAGAGACACGCCAAGAGACCTGAAGACGATCCAAAAGGCATCCCAAGCAGAACTTTTCGAGGCGGCTCTCCCCAAAATGCAGTGTTCCAACCATCCCCCAACCTTCCAACCTTCAACTCTCGACCCTCCAACCTCTGTTTGAGTTCCGAGGAGTCTCACGCAATGCCGCAGAGCAGGAGACGTGAGAAAGAGGCCAATTACACACCAAGAAGGCCCCAAATGAATCACAACCGACCGTTCAAGAGTTTCGGGCGAAGCCCGCCATAAAGCCACAAATGCCCTGCGAGTTCCCGAAAAGGTCCCACGAGAGGCAGCGCGAGAACCATGCCCAAGCACGCCCGTGCCCCGCAAAAGCCTTGCTGCGCAGCTTCCGCACAGACTCCCGCCGACCGTTGCGAAACTTATCCAGGGGCCTCCAAACCCAAATCTCTGAGATGCTTTCAGACGGTCCAGAGCGTCCGCCTTGCGCATTTCAACGGGGGCTCGTGGGCCGTCTTGGGAACTCTGGAGATGACGTACGCAGCAAACATCGTTGCACTACTTAGGGAGCTCCATGATTAAAACACTGTTGCCTTCTCGTTTCTATGACGAGCATTAGATTGGCCCAAGATCGTCCCCCGAGCCCTTCAAAGGACCACCGAATCGTGACGTGACCAGGGGAATGGGGGTGGGGCAGGGCCGGTCATGGGCGTTATTGCGAAACATCAGAAACATGTTCCGTGGAGCCCTGTGGCGTTGTGTCGGGGAGCCTCTTGCACCCTGGGCACCCTGCAGGCCTTCTTGAAGGCCTCCTGAGGGGTGCTGGGGCCGTCTGGGGGGGCTCTTTGAGCAGCCTTGGCCCTGGATGGGCCGTCCTGGGAACCACCTCGGGGAGCGGCGGTGCTCCTGGGCGCTCTCATGAAGGGGCCCTGGACACACAAATAAATACACACAAATAACAGCATTCCCCAGATGTGTTTTCCCTCGGTTTTTGTCTTCCCCCCATTTTTCCATATTTTCCTGTATTTTCTGAGGAATCGACAATGAATTGTGTCTGTGTGTTTTTCCCCTCCTGATCTCAGGGCGCGCTGGGGCCTTCTCGGCCACCTCGAGGCTCCACTGGGCCCGTCGAGCTCTCGGGAGGCCTCCTGAACCTGCACGGCGCACTCTGGGCCATCCTGGGGCGTCGGCAGCCCGAAAACAAACGGGAACGGAAGCCCGAAAACAAACGGAAAACAAACAAACAAAGCCCGAAAACAAACGGGGGAGGAGGAGGAGGAGGAGGAGGAGGAGGAGGAGGAGGAGGAGGAGGAGGAGGAGGAGGAGGAGGAGTCGAGCGCGCGGAGGGGACAGGCTCCGGGCTCCCGACGGCCGCGCCCCGCGCGGCGCCAGCAGCCCCCGCGCACGCGCTTACCTGCTCACAGGCAGCGCGCGAGGAGGAGGATGCCCAACATCTCCTCGGACGTGATCTGGATGCTGATCGCGGTCAGCGGCGGCTCCACGGAGCCAAAGTGGATGAAGTACATCAGCATCCCCTTCACGATGCCGATCAGGTGCAGGTGGATGTCCGTGTCCAGGGGCCGCCCCCACCCGACGGTGGCGGTGGTGCAGACGCAGCACGGGCGGCGGCTTCTTCATGGTCTTCGTGGCCCTCAGTGCCGCTCTAGCGGCCGACAGGGTGGCCTCCGCCGACACGTGGGTCTCCTGCCTGAGCATGTGGTACGTGAGGCAGGCGACCGCTATGGACTCGGCGCACTCGCTGGACTGGTCGATGAGCCCGAGCTTCGCAAACTCGGAGACGAGAGGGGGCGCTCCGCAAGCACGCCCCACAGCAAGCGCCAGAGGGGCGCAGACAAGGTAGTGGCACATCTTGTCTTGGCCGCTTGCGCAGCCGAAGATGCACCGGCGCCTTCCACACGGGTAGGCGATGCGGTAGGACGTGAGCCACGAGAAGGACAGTGTTCTCATCCATGAAGTCGCCCACGATGGGGGCAGCCTTTTCATGGCGGTCTGGATGTCATGCATGATGGAGGGGTTGTGGAAGAAGAGCTCTCTTGCGTGTGGGAGCCCTTTCACGATGCGGCCCTGCAGGAAGTGCCCGATGCCGTCGACCCCACAGGTGGCCGGGGCCGAGGCGTAGGCATGCTTCTGCGCTAGGCCAGGTTGCTCGTTGGCGACCGCCGCCCGCGCGGCCTCGATCGCAGGTGCCACCAGTTGGTGGGGGTAGTACACATGGTCAGAGGTGGCTGTCGCGATCTGGCGCATCGTCTCCACAAAGGCCTGCGACTGCCACCACGGCGGTGAGAGATGGAGGGCACACCGAGCGGCGCCCTCGAGGGTCTGCTGGAGGCCGTAGGAGTTCAACCCTGCGCGTTGTCTCTCACGGATCTCGGCGAACTTCTTGAACGTCGAGGTCACCGCGCGGACAATTGTCGCGAGCATGCTGAGCTGGAGCGACCTCGGCGCGGGGACCCCCCAGTCCTTCAGGAAGGGCCAGTCCGTCAACCTGAATGCGCCGTTCGGGAAGCGGAGGATGGAGGCGTTGATCCAGCTTTCATGCTTGAAGTGTTCGTGCGGGAGCAGGGCGCACTGGGCAAGGTAGCCGAGGACGGGGAGCGCACGCCCGCTGTACAGGGAGACTGTTCCGACGGCAGGCGCATCACTTGCACTGCACGCCTTTACTCGGGAGCGGTACTTGTTGAAGGCCTTCGCGTAGATGGGCTGGTCCGTGGCACCAGGGCCCAGCAAGAGGCCGAGGTAGGTGAGGCGGTCGCATATTATGAAGTCCTTGAACTTCGGGGCGATGTTGAGCAGCGCCTTCTTGAGCTTGAGGATGAGGTCGGCGTTGACCTGGCCCGCCAAGGGGATGATGTGGCACTTCGGTGCTTTCAACTCCAGACCCGCCAGGATCTCTATGCAGAGCATGACGTCGGCGAGGTAGACAAGATGGGCGGCGGCCCGCAGGACAAGCCCGAGGTCATCAGCGCATGCGCGGCAGAGTCCACGGCCTTGGGTTTCGAGAACGGTCTCAAGGTTGAGAAGGAAGCTTGCAGCGCCCATTGCGTACAGCGTGCCGCTCCAGCCGCAACCTTGGACGATGCCCGACTTGATATAGAAGAGGGGGACATACTGGCCAGCGCACGGGGCCATCGCAAGGATGTTGTTGCACATGGAGTCGAAGAACATGAGGATCGCTTCGGGGGCGCCCATGGCCTTGAGCGCCAGGCGGATGAACTGGTGGGCGAAGCTGGGGAAGGCCTGGGCGATATCCAGCGACACGAGCACTGGCAGCGTGTCCTGGGCGTCTGGGTCGGCCGAGGCAATGCGGCTCTCGGCGTCCAGCTCGAGGATGTTGTAGCCGAAGTTGCGCCGATGGATGAACCCACGCTGTGCGGCTGGGAGCACCTCGGCTGCCACCACTGCCGTCGCAGCATTCATCGTGCTGCTGATTATCTTGAGGGACGTGTTGCGCAATCCAAGGACACGGACTTTGGACGGGTCTCGATGGCAGCCGTGATGTTCCGAGTCCTCTGGTTCCTCACCTTTGGGCAAGAAGGCTTGGACGGTCGCGTTCACTTCGTCGGGGAGGATCCCGCCGTTGAGCATGTAGCACATGACATCCCAGAGAACCTCGGTGCATTTCTCATGCGCGGACCAGGCAAGATACGGCAGTCCGTCGAGGCCTGGTGAGGTGGAAGACGAGCGCCTGGCAAACTTCTTGAGCGTCTCGTAGTCTGGCGGCCTGTATTTGGAGAAATCGATGGAGGGCGAGAACTGGTTCAGGTAGTCAGCGGCCTTGTTCACGTCGACGGTCTTGCCCGCGAAGACCGGCTGCCAGTGCTCCACAAGCTTCTTGAGCCTCTCGTTGGGGCCCGTCACGGTGCCCTCGCTGGTCTTGACTCCCGTCAGGATCAGGCGCTTGCTGAGTGGGTTCCAGAGCTGGAGCTTCCTTTGCAAGGCTTGGGTTTGTCCACGTGCTTGAGCGGGTCGGAGGCGCCCACGTTGAACTGCTTGGTCGATAGCTGCCTGACGCTGCTCAGCGTCTTGGCGGAAGAGGTTGCTTGCCCACTCCTCGAACTTCGCGTGATCGATGAGCCCGACGCTGTCACCATTGATCTGGATGTGTTCTTGCGCGACAAGGCGCGAGCGAAGGAGGCGAGCAGCGAGTTGTCGGTCTTGACGCCGAACCGCACGTGAGATCGACTTCGCTACTTGAAGGAGCACGTCGCCTCTGCTCGGATGCATGTCATGGAGACGGTCACGAGCTTCACGTGCAATTTGTCTGAGAAGACCGGTGGTCTGAATCAGCTTGGTCGGCGGGGGCAGGTTGCCCATGGGGGAGGCGGCAAACACCTTGTCGGCAATCTCTCTGAAGACGGGGGACTTGACGACGCATTGGGCGACCGGCTGGTTCGGCGAGGGTTTGGCATCGCGCATCGTGAAGGAGACGAAGAGGGCGGCATGGTCACTGACACGACGGCGTGAGAGGTCTTCAGGTGTGGAGAAGGTGGAGGATGTGACAGCCAGCTGCAGCATCTGAGTGGGAGTGAACGAGCAGAAGCATCTGTCGATGGTGGTCTCGGACTTCGTCTCGGAGCAGTAGTGCGTGGTGTCGGCGCTGTCGATCTCCACTAGGTGCTTCAGGGCGTTGTGCCACTTGCGAGCCGATGCTTTGGACGTTTCAGTTGGGTTTGAATTGCCCTTTGCCATAGGGTCCAGGAGCTTCAACTTCCCTACGGCGGAGAAGTTGAAATCCCCAGTGACGAACAGGACAACGCGGCTCGGGTCGGATCTCGCCCACTGCAGGTCGCTGTTGATGCGCGTGGTGATGTTCTGGATGGTGGCGTTGCTGAGGTCGTAGTTGTGTATGTTGTAGAAGATCATCACTTGGTCGGCAGCACGGAAGACAGAGCGTAGAACACGGCCAGGAAAGACGGGGTCGCTCACGACATTCAACCCAGCAGGGAACACAGTGGCAACTCCGCCACTGATAGTGCCATGATATCCAGGAGCAAAGGAGGAGTGCATGTCTAGGGTGCTGTCGATCTTCCGCATGAAAGCAAGAAGCTGGCCGCGGTTCTGGTGGACCTCCTGGATGCCCAAGACCATCTTGCTCAGCGGCATGGACTTGAGGTACGCGGACTTCTCCACCACGCGTCTGCCCTGGTAGTCTAGGAGAGCACGAGCATTCCATGTGCCGACGGCCAGGCAGGGCGTCGGCCCACAGGCCAGGCGGTTCTGGCTGCGCGCCAGCTCGTCAAAGCCAAAACTTCGGGGCAGCTTCAGGCGCAACCACCACGTTGGCGGCGTTCTTGAGGGTCGTGCGGTCGATGCCCAGCGCGGGGAGGCCGGTGTCCTGGAACGTGAGGATGGTCGGCTCGTCCCTGCCTGGGCGGACGCTGTACGCGATGACGGGGGCCCAGCCTGCAGTGATCCAGGCCTTGGTGCGGTCCACGCGCCAGACATGGTTCGGGAACTCGCGTTCTATGGCCTGGCGGAGGCGCTTCCCCACAATCTCCGTCTTGATCTGCTTCGGCGACTTGTCGGGGCCCATCCGCAGCTCGACCGTCCCGTGGCCCGAGACAGCGTCGGCGTAGATGCGCACCCAGGTGCCGTTGGTCGAGCGCATGCTGTCCAGGACTTTCTGCACACGACGGCTGGCAGGGCCAGGGAGGCCCGTGAACTTGATAGTGAAAAACTTGGCGGTGTCGTTGCCAGTGACCGTGAAGTCAGTCTCACGGATGTCGCAGCCCACCACGAACTTGGAGAGAGACTCGGTGGCCTTGGCCAGGGTGACCAGGCCGTCCGCGTGGACCTTGATGATCGTGGCGTCGGTTTCGCGATCGAAGTCGCGGCTGATGAACTGCTGTTTGATCGGCTGCTTGTTGGCTGTGGCAAGCTCGTGCTGCAATACTTTGATCTGCTCCGCCATGAGCTCGATTGCTTTGTCGGTCTTCTCCTGTTTGGCCTCCACTTCGCCGACGCGTATGTTGAAGGCGTCGAGCTGCTGCTGGAAGTGCTTCCTCGTGGCGTCGATCTGCTGGCCGACGGCGAGGTGGACGTCTTTCTCAATCTTGGCGCCCAACCCGTCAATGCCGTCCTGGGCGGCTTTGAGCGCCAACGAGATGGGATTGGTGGCGGAGCTGACCACGGTGGTGACGGTCGAGTAGATGGACTCTTTGATAGCGGTCTCCATCGCGTCGATCTTCGACTGGAGGGACTGCACGTAGGCCATGGTGGCGTACGCGTCCAAATCAACCTCATCTCCCTGCGGTGGCGAACGGGAGCGGTCAGCCCTGCCGCCAGGCTCACAACCAGGCTCGCCAGGAGGAGGACGCTTCGAGATCCCTTTGCAGCGCAGTGGTACCGCAGCGGCCGCGCCTCCTTTCTCCGACATGGCGAGGAAGAGGTCTGGGACGCTCGCTCACACAGGAACGGGAAAGGCCTCCGTTTACCCGTGAAGGCGGACGTCGGTGCGGGTGAAGTCTGCCAGGCCACAGGTGGCCTTGCCTGCCGCGGACTAGCGGTATCCGCTTGTTCCCCTGATGGACTCACCATCTTGAGCCAAAATGGCTACGGAGGAGGAGGAGGAGGAGGAGGAGGAGGGGGAGGAGGGGGAGGAGGAGGAGGAGGAGGAGGAGGGAGGAGGAGGAGGAGGAGGAGGGAGGAGGAGGAGGAGGGGGGGGGAGGAGCTCCGGCTCGGCCCCCGGGCCGCTGCGGGGGGGAGCTCTGGCGCACCCGCTCGCCGAGAGCTGCGCTTTTTCCGCCGCGGCGGCGGGCCCCCCCCCCCCCCGAAGGCCGAGCACCGCGGCCTCGGCCACGGGCCTCCTCGGAGGCGGAGCGTCCTCAAGAGAGTCCTCGAGGAGGGCGAGAAGGACGAGGAGGCCAACAGGAAATCACTCGATGCAGGAAGCCCCATATGTGCATCTCATGTTCGGACAACTTCCTCTGTGAGCTCCTGGGCGTGAACGCGGGTCAGACTGAACATCTTCAGGACTGAATGTGGGCGTTCCTCTCTATCTCTCTCTCTCTCTCTCTGCCGCCGTACGCGTCCTTCTCTCCGACGCCGTATGCTACCCGCTGGCTGTTCCCCCATTGGTGCGCTCGAGTGCTATGCCTGCTGCATCGCGGTGATCAAGGGGCTCCGAAAGGAGAGGATGCCAAAACTAAGGGATTCGCTCGAGGTATCCTCATCATTGGGCTGCTGACGGGCAGTTGCAAGACCCTTTGGGGGCTCCCCCTTTGGGTGCCCATGTGCCATGCCTGCCACGTCTTGGTGACCATGGGGCTCTGATGGGAGATGAACCATATCTTTCACAGAAACAATCTCCAACCCTCGGAGTGCAAGGGCTATTGCCGGCATCAAGCACACGAGCGCGTGCGAAGTCTGGTGGCAAAAGCACAGTCATCAAAAATTCGTGTCTGGCATCAATTCTACCTGACTGCCCTCCGAACTAAAAAGAATATCGTACAGTACCGAATCCTGGCGGGCCCAATAGAAACACCCTTGACTTACGCGGACATGTTTGCACGCGCCTTCCTGAGATGACAGGGGGGCTGCACAATATTCCACGTCCTACTCATGTCACCAACTTCTCCTGATGCCACGCAGCTGTGCAATCGATGGCAGGGCATTTTCTCCACAATGGCCCGTTCCCAGACATGCGATGTCTTGATATGTTCAACACGCTGTCCCCAGAATTCCCGACCCCTCCCCAGGGCATGTTCTTCGTCGCGGGTCGTTTTTCAACGGTCCCAGCCCAGGCCGAAAACGACGAGTAACCTCCCGTCGGGAATCGCTTCACGACGCGAGCATGCCTGGGTTTGAGATCTGCACCCACTTTGCCACACGAACCGCCCCTCCCCGCCTCCACTGGCAGGATCCCTCGCGAGCCGAGGGTGAGCAGGGTGAACCCGACCAAGTTGTTGCACGCAGACCCGGCGAAGACGACGGTGGCGCCGAACCTGTCCAGGACAAACCCCGGCAGGACCTCGGAGCTTCTTTCTGACGCAACGCAGCGCGGAGGAGGAGGGGGAGGAGGAAGATGAGGAAGCGTTTGTGAAGGGGCCCTGGGACACAGAAACAAATACACACAAATAACAGGATTCCCCAGATTTCCCCATATTTTTCTGATGTCCGTCTTCCCCCCCACTTCCCAGATTGTTGCACATTTTCCTGGGAATCGCCGATTCACTGTGTCTGTGTGTTTTTTCCCCTCCTGAGAGGAGGCATTTGGCCGAAGCGGCTGCTTTCGCCCACAGGGGGCAGGCGGACCGAACCGGCCGTTCCCCGTGCGCTGACGGAGAGCCTGGCCGCAGCAGCAGCAGCAGCAGCAGCCTTTTCGGGTGCGCCAGTGCGAGCGTGCCTGCCCCTCCTCCTCCTCCTCCTCCTCCTCCTCCTCCTCCTCCTCCTCCTCCTCCTCCTCCTCCTCCTCCTCCTACCCTCATCCTCCTCCTCCTCCTCCTCCCCCTCCTCCTCCTCCTCCACCTCCTCCTCATCCTCCTCCTCCTCCTCCTCCTCCGTGCGAGTCCGGCGTGGCACCGCCAGACTCGCACGGTGCGAGTGACTGACAGAAAGATCAGGAAGCTGCCGGAGCAGGAGGTGGGCGCACAGTTCGGCAGGAGCATCGACGAGCTGCGCCACCTGATCCTGCAGGTGCCCACTGACAAGTCGAAGGTTTTCGCCCATAGCATCGACTGGTACGACGTAGTCGGGCACAATATCATCGAGAAGAGGTTGCGGCCTTGGGTAAAGAAGGTCAATGAGTATGTGGGAGCTGAGGGGCAAGATCTGCTGGAGCACATCCTGCATATGGTCCATTCCAAGGCGACCCCGTACAGCATCCTGTCAGAGCTCAAGGGGTTCATGGGTGCAGAAGCGAACAACTTCATCCTGACGATGTGGCGCATGCTAATCTTTGAGGGCCTCCGCGTGAAGGATGGCACCGAGGACGATAGCATGGTCGAGTGCTACTACCTCGGCAAGGGCAATGGTTTCTTCAGCGAAGCGGCCAAGGTGAGGCAGACGGCGGCCACCCTGGAGCCCACAACGGAGCTCCTAGATGGTGGGCGCGGCTTGGAAAATTGCACACGGGCGAACAGGAAGAACGAGACTGTGTTGGTGGACTGCGAGACGATCATCGGGAACGACCCCGTGAGCGTACTCAAGGGCCTGCAGCTCGCTTCTCTCCAGCAGGAGAAGAGCACCTTCATCGAGGACTCAAGTGAGAAGGATGACCCCATGGATGGGCGAGCGCACGAGGTGAAACCGATGGTGGCCACCGTGGACTGCGCGAAGATGGGCGACGAGTTCGGCCCGGCGGAGCTCGGAGAAGAGTCAAAGGACGAGGAGCACGAGAAGTGGAAGGACCTCAGGAGGAAGGAGTGCAGGAGGAACAGGGAGGAGATGAAGCAGGATTGCTTCGGCAAGGCCAGTTTCGTCGAGAAGGCGGACGTGATCTGGGCGAAGGTCGACACCCTCCTAGACAAAGCGATCTCGCAGGACGGGGATGTGGTTAGCAGCCACTGGCGCACGCCCAGCTGGAAGTGTGCCAGGAGGCAGAGGAACTATAGGAGTGGAGGTTGGCGGTGGAGGACGAGGTGGAAGGAGAAGCCGTTCAGCCTGCCCCCCGTGCCGGCTTCCTGAACGACTCGAGCTGGCTGAATATCACGATCGCCTGTGGCGTGCAGCAGGAGTTGCGATGAGAAGAAGCATGTTGCTATAATTCGAGGTTGCAGGCATGACAGTCTCGCCATTGCCAGCTTCTCTCGGAAGCCTTCTGCCATGCCAGCGTGGAACCCATACAGCGTGTTCTGCATGCTGGTCCGTGCTAGGAGTATGTGGGGCCGCTTTGTGCAAGCACTGTTCGAGGAACTTTCAAATCGCGCCCCGATCGAGGGTACAGCGTCCGCTCGTGCTCGCCGTCGCCCAGGGCTAACAGCGGCACTGGGGCGAAGCCGCGCTGAGGTCCATTGGTCGTGCGTCGCCACCCCTCGTACTCGTCGTCGCCAGGGGCCGACAGGGGCACTTGGGCGAGGCCTTGCAGAGCGATGCCACACGATACATTTGAGATGCAGGTGGGAGTGCGGATTCAAAAGAATCCCATTTGGGGCAGCCGGATGCCCAGAGCTTCGAGGGCAAGAGCCGGGCAGCCTCAAGAGGGGAACGATTGGCAGCAGGCGCCCTTCGGGGTGCTGCAGCGGCCTGCTGTTTTTCGGTTCCTCCCGGCGCGGGTCGGCCTCCCGGTTGGGGAGGCGGGATCACGAATGCCTGCGACGGTGTGCTGCTCGTGGCGCCAGGCGGGTCGGCCCTCCGAGGGCGGGGCGGGATCACGAGTGCCTGCGACGTTCAGCAGAATTCCGTGCCACAAGATGACTTGTGCGCGCGGGTTTGAAGAGGTCTAAGGCGTCTTCTCGGGTGCTCGCCCTCTGGCCTTGCGTCCACAGCCTTCACGCCCTGGACGGTGTGCGGCTCGAGCACCAGATGGAGGTTTTAGGGGCGGCACCCTCCCCTCCCTCTCTGGTTCCTTCTTTCCTCCTCTCCTGGTCTCGCCTGCTTTCTTGTGTGTTGTCCTCCTTCCTGTTCCCCGCTCCTTGTTGCTGTTCCTCCCTGCCGTCCTCAAGGCCTTCGCCTGGGCTTGAGTCCTGCCCTCCCCTGGCCGCGCTCGGGCTCGCGGCGGCCGACGCCTACAGGATGGCGGTCGGCGGCCCCCGAGCCATCGACTGCCCCGGTTGCTGATCCCAGAACCTGGGCCAGATGCAGCTTCTCAGACCTCCCTCCATGTGGACAGGATTCGAATGTAGGCAGCAAGTGGGCTCCCCCATCCTCGTGGTGCTGGCGATCGCTTGCTGCCGCTCTCTCTGCTGCTGCTTTATCACCCTTCGCTGTTGTGCATTGTGGTCACCGTTTACATAAAATTATCCCAGTGCGACCCTACCTAGGAGTTGGAGCCCCTAGGAAAGCAGCATTAGTAGTAACAGTAAAGCTAAGCTACAGCTAAGCTACAGCTAAGCTAAATCTAAGCTAAAGCTAAGCTAAAGCTAAGCTAAAGCTAAGCTAAAGCTAAGCTAAAGCTAAGCTAAATCTAAGCCAAAGCTGAGCTGCAGCTGAGCTACAGCTAAGCTAAAGCTAAGCTAAAGCTAAGCTAAAGCTAAAGCTAAAGCTAAAACTAAGCTGAAGTTAAGCTAAAGCTAAGCTAAAGCTAAGCTAACGCTAAGCTAACGCTAAGATGAAGCTAAGCTAAAGCTAAGCCGACGCTAAGCTAAAGCTAAGCTGAAGCTAGGCTACAGCTAAGATACAGCTAAGCTAAAGCTAAGCTAAAGCTAAGCTAAAGCTAAGCTAAAGCTAAGCTAAAGTTAAGCTAAAGCTAAGCTAAAGCTAAGCTAAAGCTAAGCTAAAGATAAAGCTAAAGCTAAAGCTAAAGCTAAAGCTAAAGCTCCCAGGGGACTGGGGGAACCGCGGGGCGGGGACTGGGGGAACCGCCCGGGGCGTTTTCCACTGCCCAGCCCCTTTAAGCTAAGAGAGTAAGAACCCTTCTAGGCAGAGCCTAGGTAGGGAAAAAGAAAGATGAGGAGGAGGAAGACGACGAGGAAGGGAGGGGGAGGAGGAGAAGGAGGAGGAGGAGGAGGAACTCGCTGGAACTCTTTGCATGCGGACGCTCATCCTCCACACTCGGCCTCCCCAGGGTGGCGCCTGCTGCCAGTTCCGATACCTGGGAGCACAGGACCTTCACGAGCCCCGAAAGCCGCAGCACTGCACTGCAGCAGAGCAGGCACTGCGACGAGCCCGCCATTGCCTCGCCCTGCAGAACCCGACGCGGGAAATGCACTGCGCCAGGCTGCAGGGCGAGGGCTACCACGCCCACCGCTGCCCGATGCGGCAAGCGCCGTGAACCAGACAGGGAGGCGCGGGGCGGACGTGCACAATGCCGTCAATCAGAAGAGTTGGACTCCCCCTCCCGAGCCACCCGAGGCCTGGGTTGCTGAGACTCCCCCGTGGCTGCGGAGAGCCACCTTTGGACCTTGGCCTGCGTACGCAGCCCCTTGGCAAGACCACGCACATGGTCTCGCCCTCGCCTGTCAGAGCAAGCTCGAGTGACCTTGGGGGAACGACAAAAGGCTCGAGGGGGCCATTTCTTCCTTGGTCTCCAACTCACACGGGCCCCCCCCCCGACCTCAACCTCCAGACGACGCTGACCCCTGGACGCCATGGCCATCTCGATGGCTCTGGGAAGTGGACCCCCCCTTCGAAGAAACATGCCGCGATCAATTATGCTTAAATTCTCGGCCCCGTCCGGGGTCACACCTGCACAACGCTTGATCAGGGCACGGGGGTCCACCGTGGCGCACATACCGCACAGAGGGCAAACCTGTAGAAACCATCTCGCTACGAAAGTCAGGGAATGGGCGGGGTGGGCCTTACACTCCAGCCCAGACATAAGGAAAAACTCGGGGGGCCCACGAGATTCGCATCCTGGCGGGCCCGCGCACTCTGACGACGCAAACCGAAAAAAACTTCGAGCTATGAACAACGCACTCGCACTGGCAACATATCCACTTGTTGCCGACCTGCTCGAGCTGATGGAATGGGGAGTCGACTGCTCGCTGCTGCTGAAACAGCTTTATGCACACAAGCGCGCGACGCCCGCTCTCTCGTCTCCGACGAAGCCAACGGGGCGAGGGCTCTGCGCGCGCGCGCCTGCGCACCACGCGCACCACGTGCGCAATCGCGTTCAGTGTCAGGCCCCATCGCCATGAGCCTAAACTCCCACGCCAGCTCCGCCCCCTTTCCCGCCCACGCATCAGCAGGAGGGTCCCCCACGACAAAGAGCCTCTGCTGCGCCGATGCGAGCAGCTCGAGGCTCTCGCCCAGGTGGAACGGAGCCCAGACAACCTCCATGTCCTTACGTGGGCGGCAGCGCGGCAGAGGCAGCTCTGGATCTGGACCGCAGATCCCCACTGGAACGGGTGGCTTTCGGAGCGGCCAGACGGT